ATAAATTATTACAACCAAATCGAATTTGCACGAATATTAGAATAAACAATATACAATTTTAAAATATGCAATATTATATACATGCAAGAAAAGATTTTGTTTTATTTTTTGTGTGAAAATAGAATTTTAAACTAATCCCAAAAATATAAGGAAAAGAAATTAATTCTTAAAAAAAGGTTTAACCCTAATTTCTATTTTGAAAGAAAATAAAGTTCTTGTATATATTATTATTGTGTAATTTTGTATCTAAAAATAATAAATAATATTGTAAGGAAGTATTTAGTTTTTTTTTACATGTAAAAGTGAATATTTACAAATATGAAATAAAACAAATTAAACTAAATCTACTTTATTTATATTTACAAGTTTATTAAGAAAAATAATTAATATATATTGAAGATAAAATATATTTTTTATGGGAAAAATAAAGTAAAATAAAATAAAATAAAATGCAATATTATCATATTTATATTTTTTAGGATTTTTATGGATTAAAGAAAATATTAATAGACAAAAATGAAAACAAAAAATAAATAAATAAAAATGTATGGAAATAGTTGGGCCAGGGGGGGTATACTAATCAATCAGATGGTGAGTGTTACAAAAAAAAAACTAAGCCCAGCGTGGAGGCCCAATTCCTGCAAAAACAAGCCAAAACTGAAAATGGAAAAAATGTGAAAAATCAAAAGGTAGCGCCAAGGTTTGAACCCAGGACATGGGTTTCACCAGCGCGCTACCTTGCCACTGGGGTGGCTATACATCTATTGATTAATGTGAAACAAAAATAACATAACATGAAATGCTTCCATGGCCTTGTACTTCGTCTTCTTCCTCTAGCCAACCAGGTGCTCTGTAACTTTCTCATTTCTCCATGAAAATGAAAACTCATAACATGAATGTTGTAGCATTTTGTCTCACGATTCTAACTATATAAATCATGTAAGCTAACAATCAAAGATCATAATGAATTTTAAAAGCCCTAAATTTAAACCTAATTTTTCCAGGAACTTCAAGTTCAAAATTCTCTTAACTCAGGCCAAATAAATGCAAGATATGTATATGTACAACGTTGTTGCAATGAGGACTACATTGTTTATTCATAAATCGTGGCCAATGGATTCCTGTATAAAGAGATAGAAGTTGAGATTTTTACCTCTTTCAGTTGAAATCGTGGATGGAGTTGGAGTGAGTTTTATTAAGGCCTGATGATTGCCTGAGCATGCTTGAACCTCCCTGAGTGTGTTCCAATCTTTGCCTTGCTCTGGAAGTGCCTGGAACTCTCTATCCAAGTCAACCTGCAAGCTTTGAAAACAAAAATGGCAGATGATGGAGAAGGAGTTACAGTACATGGATGAGGGTCTGGATTAGTTAGATATCAAGTAGGTAAGGTGTTTTGATCGTTAAGACTTGAAACGCACGAGCCAAATGAAAGATTGCTATGCTTATGGAAAAACTGCAAGTCTTGACAGTTTTTTGGTGAAAAAAAAGTCTGGGAGTGTTTCAGGCTTCTAGAAATCGTGTCTTCTGTTGTATTATGTTTGTATATTAGTATGGAGAAGGTCTTAACTCAGGTCTTCCACAGGTTTGTGAGTTATAGGCATCTGACACACTTTCTTGCTTTTGAAGCAAAGTGAAGGGACAAGGCCTTACCTTCTTGTACTGGCTTGTTTAGGATTGGTATCTGTTCTATACAAGTTGCCTTAGGTCTGTGGTACTTGTATGTGCAAAGGAGACATGTTCAATGCTCAAGATTTGTAAAGTTTGCAAAAGTGGAGCTTTTTCAAAATGGCAATGGCCACTTTATGCCATTTATGGAATTACAACATGGGTAATGGCTATAAGGCTTGGATTAAAGCTTTGTAAACTGAGTAAGCATTAAATTAAGGAGTAAGAAAAAAGTTTGGGGCCTGTACAACATGTATTAGGCAGCATAGGTACTGATTGGAACTTTGTTCTTCATGAAATGGCTTGAATCAAAAGTGAGAAATTGCCAACTTCATCTCTTCGATTCTCCCTACTAAAAAATGATCTTGAGGAGTTCTTGGACATTTTGGAAATCTTGAAATATGCTATATAACTCATCTTTGAAATGAATTTCAAGACTCCTCTTTGAACTAGGTGAAAAATTGCTATGAAGTTGGGTCTAAAACCTGCCTAAATTAGGGCAAAAAGTTCACTAAGTTAGTTAGTTCATGAGCATGTATTCATAAATTTATATCTTGAGATCCAAGCATCTTTAGGGAAAAGAGTGTGAATTAAAGTTGTAGATTTAATGGAGGTATACAACTTTCATGTTGGGAACATCCTTTCAATCATCTTGTATCATGGTGAAAAAATGGCCTAAAGTTGAGAAAAAATAAGAAATTTTCTATAAGAACAATTTCTAAGTTAAGAAAATTTCCAATCTTAAACCCTAATCTTCAATCCTTGATTTCTTGATGAACAAGTTTCACATTTTTACATGTTTTTATGAATTGTGACCCTTGGCACTTGATTTTGACCAAAAAGTCAAAGTTTGACTTTTCAGTGTACAATTGACTTTTGATCAGTTGACTGCAAATTTCATCTGTCTATCAATGAAATTGAAATGTTTTGAACCATGTAATTAGGTCAAGATGATGCAATTGAATCCTTGGAATCATGCTTCAAATCAATTGGTCATTTTCTAGGTCAAAAATCAGAAATTGCCCTTCCTCAGTTAAAACCCTAATTTTGACCATTTTGCCCTTTTGATGATTTGATCAAATTTCTTGAGGAATTATGGTCCAAACTTGATCAAATTTTACATATGAATCTAGAATGTTGATGTGGATAAAAAATTATGAAGTTTGACTGTAGATTGGCCATGGTTGACTTTCCCGCCAATACAACTGATTTTTAGGTCAACTGTGCAATTGACTGATCAAAAATGTGGTCCAAGGCTTGAAACTTGTCATGAGTAATCTTAGGGGTCCATAACGATGTTTGAAAGTCATATGAAGCATTAATAGTCTAAGCATCCTTGTGCAAATTCAAACCCTAATAGTGTAAGATGAGATGTCTTGAGCTGACCAAACCCTAATCCAGTCTTGAGTTAAAGAAATCTTGTGAGAATAATTTTGATAAATGAGAGGGCAAATTTTGGGGTACAACAGCTGCCCCTGTTCAATCTTCTTAGACCTGAAGAGTTAGATTGACAAGTTTTGCCATTCGTGACTCGAAGGTGAAAGATGATTGGACACTAGAGTGCCCATAAATTTGCACTCGACAATATGTAGTTGAGGGAATGGGATTAAAGATGCCAATTGGAGAAGTGATGGAATCTTCTTGGATATGGGCTTGTAGATGCCATCCAAAAATGTTTGTTGAGCTGTAAGTTGTAAGTCGAAAGAATAAGTATCAGAATGGTGTCCGTGTCTTGAACGTATCTGAGCTGTATCTGGAGACTGAATCTGTATGAGCAACAAAAAGGCATCCGTGTCTGGAGCGTATCCATACTGTATCTAAAAGTTAAATCTGAATGAGCAACATAATGGCATATGTGTCTGAAGCGTATCTGTACTGTATCTGAAAGTTGAATCTGAATGAGCAATAGAATGACATTCGTGTCTGGAGCGTATCCGTACTGTATCTAAAAGTTGAATCTGAATGAGCAACATAATTGAATCCATGCCTGGAGCGTATCCGTACTGTATCTGAAAGTTGAATCTAAATGAGCAACAAAATGGCATTCGTGTCTGGAGCGTATCCGTACTGTATCTGAAAGTTGAATCTGAATGAGCAACAGAATGGCATCCGTGTCTGGAGCGTATCCGTACTGTATCTGAAAGTTGAATCTGAATGAGTATCAGAATGGCATCCGTGTCTGGAGCGTATCTGAACTATATCTAAAAGTTGAATCTGAATGAGCAACAAAATGGCATCCGTGTCTGGAGTGTATCCGTACTGTACCTGAAAGTTGAATCTGAATGAGCAACATAATGGCATCCATGTCTGGAGCGTATCTGTACTGTATTTGAAAGTTGAATCTGAATGAGCAATAAAGTGACATCCGTGTCTGGAGCGTATCCGTACCGTATCTGAAAGTTGAATCTGAATGAGTATCAGAATGGCATCCGCGTCTGGAGCGTATCTGAAAGCATATTGTTAATGATAGCTGTTTAATCTTATCTTGAAAAGGGTAAAATGTTAGCTGAAACAGAAAGTTATGTTGCATGAAATGTATGATGCAATATATTTGCTTCATCAATGTTTATGATATATGGATGTAATGTATGCGCATGTAAGCTGATTTGCTGTATTACTGCTTGATTGAGGAAAATAAATCCTTGAACGCTGATGAGGATAGGTTGAATTTCCAACGTCTCGAGGTTGAAGTACTGATGAACTCTTGCTGAGAGAAGTAAATTCTATTGTGAGGGCAATGCCATGTACTGCTTGAGATTTGCTCGGGAATCCAGAGAAACCTGATGATTTCTACTGGGGATTAATAATTTGAAATTTTAGTTCTGCTGGGGATTTAAAGGACGTACTGTGGGGATTGCTTATGGAATAGCCTAAATATGTTTTCCTATCTGTAGCGGTGAAAATCGGAGATCAAGCTATTAATTAACTTGACTCACAAAAGCAAGAGTCGCCACCGTGCTTTATTATTTCCAAGGGAAAAGGGAAAAGAGCGAAATAAAACCCTAAAATATGCAATGTAAAGTAATATTTAAAAGTAATGAAAATACAATGCATTTTTAAAAGAAAGATCGAGAGTTCGGGGGTTGGTTATACAATGGGAAGGTATTAGCACCCAATGCATCTGCGGTACTCCGCAGGAACCTTTTGAAATATCTGTTTTTTTAAAATTGTTTGTTTGATTAAAATGGTTCGTTTGGCTAAAAAAATAGGTGTTGGCGAGATTTTGAAAATGTGATAACCTAATGTCGAAGTTTTGACTTAAATGGTATGAGTTTGAAAATGGAGTCTTTTGGGAAAATTATCTTAAGTTTGGAAAAATAGTAAACAAGCAAAAAATGAATGAGGCTATTCGCACAATTGTAGAAGACGTATTTGATGACATGAAGTCAGCTGAGCTGAAACATTTCCCTTGGAATGGTATAAGCAGATGGATCTAATATTCGAGTAAGAAAGCATAAATAATTAAAATCCACGAGAAACGAACAAGGTAGAGAAGGAGATAAATTGTAAGAAACTAAATGAAAAGACAAAGAAGAATCATGAATAAAGGAAAAATGTAATAAAAAAAATTATCTAAACTAATTTGAAATTCTAAGGTTACTAAGTAAGCTAAACTTAAATTTTAAAGCGTCTAACTAAATTAAATAAAATTTCAAAGTTATTAACTAAAACTAAATTAAAATTCTAAAGTTACTAACTAAAATTCGTAAGTTATTAAATTAAATCTAAAATAAATCAACACTCTAATATTACTGAATCAGGTCTAAACTAAATTAATTCTAAAGTTACTAAATTACATCTAAACTAGTATAAACTAAATTCATTATAAAATTACTAATTTAATCTAAACTATATTAATAATAAAATTACTAACTTAAATCTAAACTAAACTAATTCTAAATTAAAGATTAAAATTCTAAGACTAAATTAACATTCTAAAGTTATCAAAATGTATCTAAACTAATTAAAGGTTTTAACATTACTAATTTATATCTAATTAAATTAAAATTCTAAAGTTATTAAATTAAGCCTAAAACTAATCTAAATAATTAAGATTATCTAGTTAACTAAAACATAGTTGTTTAATTAAATCTATAAAATACCTAGATTGACTAAGTTATTATTATTTAAGATAAATAAATTGAAAGAGTGTAACAAAAAATTAGGGGGAGTAATAAAAGCAGTTGGGCCCTAAAACAAAAAGAAAAGGAAACAATAAGCCTAAACTGTAACACAAATAAAGATCAGAAAGATATATAAAAAAAAATGATGGGCCGGACCGGGTCAGGGTGGTCCGGACCCATCTCCCAAACTCACAAGGTTGGGTTGAAGAAAACCCTATTACTCTTTGTTTCCCAGAACGGCATAGTCGCAGAAAAGACTCCTTCTCCCACCTTTCTTCTTCCTTCTCAAACCTCACAAATGCAGAAACCTTTTGTCAATCTCCTTCCTCATCCTTCCTTCTCGTGCCAAGCATAATGGTTGATGTTCCATTTGGAAGCAAAGACGCATGCCGTCTCGTCATTGATGGAGGTACCGAGACTGTTTTTGCGTAGAGGGAGTAACGATGGAAGTTGCTGCGATTTGTATGGTGCGACGGTGTAACGGACTGAGCGAACTTGTTTGCGGTTACGGCGGAATGATTGAGAGAAATCGCGGAGATCAAAAACTCGGTTTGCTGAAATGGTCGATGATGTTGGCTAGAACAGAAGCTCGCGTGAAGGAGGTTAGATGCGATTGAGGCAGAGGAAGTAGGTGGTGGATGACATTACGAATGTTGATGATGAGGAACGGATCGCTGGGTTCATAAGCGAGAGAGGAAGACGGCGATGTAAGGTTGGTGAATGTGAGTATGTTAGCTACTGTTAGTTTTTTGTGTCTTTGTGTGTTTCTATCTTTCTCTTCTTCTTGTTGAACTCTTATAGATTCTGAAATCCGATTGTTGCGAATGCTGTGTTGAGTTGTTGAATGTTTTTATGCACATTACAGATGGAGAGTGTCTTGTGGATTTGAGCGAATAAAAGGTGATGAAGGTTTTGGTGAAAGGTTATAGAGATGAGTTGGGTAAACAATAGTTAGGTTGTAAGTTGAAAGGTGTGAGATTATGTAAGGTTGAGTGTTACACGGTTAGGTTGGTAAGGTTGACTGTGGGTTGTAGAGGTCTGATACAGTTTAAAAAGGTGATGACGATTTCTGGTTTATGAGGGGGTATGGAGTGTTTGGAGTGAAGGTTAGTTGAGTATGTAATGGAGATGATGGCTGGTTTGTGGAGAACTAGTGAAAGAAGAGGGAATTTGAGAGTGAGCAGACAGAGGGAGTTTATGTTTCATTGGAATTTTTCTGTATGCTTGAACAACTAGCTATTAATATTTTTTGTGGTATTTTTTTGTTGTTTTCTCTACTTCTTTCCTCCATGGATTAAACAGATTTTATCTTTCTGTCCTCCTCCTCCTTCATATCAGTAATCTCTCTTATATAGGAAAATGGAGTGAAATTGGGAGGGAAACTTGAACACAAGCAGTATCCTGTTTCATTGTTTTTATTTATGCAAATTTTGTTTTGCTAAACTTGTGCAAATACTAAACTGACATGGTGCAGGTTTGGATTGACGTGGCCTGGTTATGTGTAGATTTTGCAGGCTGTTTTGACACAGGTTTGACAGGAGCTTTTGGCATTATTATGCAGTTTTTTGCAGCATTGCAGCATGGATGATTTTGGGCATATTGCAGTAGCAGAATTTGGAGTGTAGTATCATTGGAAAGGTCCCTTTCTATTTTGTATTTTTATGATTTTACCATGTAACAATACATGTATCTTCCCTCTCTTTTTCTTTTGAAATTGGACTGATTTTGTTTTCATATATTTTGTTGTTTTGGTGGACAGATTTGGATGAAAATTGAAGCAAGGTTTGGATGAGTTTTGGGAGCTTGATGTCATTTATAAATAGGACTTGGTAGTTTTGAATTGATGTATTTGATCATTTGATGATTGAATTTTTAACTTTTATTATGACATTGAGTGTTTGAGTGAAATGACAACTTTTGGTGAAACATGGTTTAGACTTTGTAACTTATTATATTTGAATTCAAAATTTCCATAATTCCAAATTGTAAGCATTATAAATTGGATGGAACTTTTGTCCCTTGTATTCGAACCTCTCTTGAAAAACATTTGCAACTTTGAATGGCATTTGAACTTGACATTTGAATTTTGAACATTGTCTTGAAAGTTGAATGGTGTGCAACTTAAAATAATGAATGTTTGAATCTTGGCATAATGACCTTAAATCAAAAGGAATTTGTATGAATTGAAAGAAAGGTAAATGTTAAAACTTTAATGAATCGAATATTAATGAACAAACAAATGCCTTAAGAAATTTAATCAAAATCCAACTTCGCTCCATTAATCATTAACGCTCAAACACAAGTGACTTGAATTACGAGCAATAGATGATCAATGAATCTTCAAACTCAACAACTTATTTGATGAATTATCTTAACATAAGAATCAAACGTCCTTTGAGAAAACGTTTGTGGCATAAATTGAACCAAGCACAAATTAACCTCGACCTTTGAAGTAATCTCATAGACAATGCTATTTGTGACACTTCACAAAAAGAATTGCCTCAGGACGTTGAGAATTGAAGAAGTTATGAACCTCGAAATTTGGACAAGAGTTTCTTGTGATTAGGTTAAATTTGCAAAAAGACCTCCAAAGTATTCGAATTTTAGATGATCCTCCACATACAATCAACTCTTGACTTGTAAAGAGGAGTGGGAGATGACATCAAGGAGAGTCATACGCAAAAAGAACCACTCAAAAATATGGAATAATGAAGAAGTTATGATCGTTTGAACTTGATCTTGCAAAAAGTTGAATTTTGGTCGAAGTGCTTTAAATCATCTCACATAGCCTGATCTTTTCTTGCATTCCAAGACACATTGAAACACACGTGAACCATTGATGATGGAATCTTGTATGTGCTCTGAGGAAGTTGTGGAGAAGTTTGAGACCACTAGTCGGATAAGGAGTGGAAATAAACACACGATCCTCTGAAGTTCCATAAAACATATTTGGTCAAAATGAGATTGAACGATGCTTGAGACTCTATTCTCTGAGACTAGAGGTTGTGCCTTGATGAATCAGTCTTTGAGAATCCACAATCAATCGTACTTCTGGCTTGGGAGACTCAAAAGCTTAATTGAGGCGCGACACCTGATGATCTTGATTCAGACCTGTCTCTGCACATGAAACAAAAGAAAATATGAACATACACCTTTGTATGCGATTGGAAATTAGTGATACGTAGGCTAAAAATGTTCAAAACACTTGACAATCTTCGCATAGTCAATGCTTGAAAGTGAGAGGTTAAAACCGACTGTATTTCGTGACCTTGACTTATCTTTAAAAATGCAAAAATAAAAATGGGATCTTAGGTCAAAAATTTAGGTACAACAGCTGCCCCTATTTAAGTTTCTTCTATCTGGAGATATGAAGATTGGGATCTTCATTTCGACGAGATTGAAGGGACTTAAATATAGAATACACAATTTTTGGCCTTAAGATACCGCGATTATGTTCATGATATGATATGAATGTAATGCTCTGAATTTTATGGGAAATGACGCCATATGAGACAGACTATGCTGGAGAAACCAAGCACATTATACAGTAATCCCATAGAGGAAGAGGTTGTAACTCCACTGGGGAAACAAAGTCATAGACTTCAAATGAGAGACTCTTGAATGATTTACATCAGTGTTGAGACTGGAAAAGAGATGATTTACATCAGTACGAAGACTGGAAAAAGAAATGATTTACATCAGTACTGTGACTGGAAAAAGAAATGATTTACATCAGCACTGTGACTGGAAGAAGAAATGATGGACATCAGTACTGAGACTGGAAAATAAAATGATTGACATCAGCACTGTGGCTGGAAAACAAAATGATTGACATCAGCACTGTGGCTGGAAAACAAAATGATTGACATCAGCACTGTGGCTGGAAAACAAAATGATTGACACCAGCACTGTGGCTGGAGATAAACATCTCTGATTTCTGAATTTTACCAAGAACGGTAACACATTTCTTCTTTAACCAAGATATCGCCTGAAAAGGATAAAATAACAAACTTCCCCACGGGACTTTTCCGAAGGGATGCCATTTGCTGAGTAGACATTATTGTTGGGGATACACAAGCTGCTCAAATAAAGAGGCCGCCACTTGCTTCCTTTCAAAGGTGTCAATAATATACAAGCTGCTCATGAAGAGACCGCCACTCGCTGTCTTCAAAGAATATTAAAGCACACAAGCTGCTCATGAAGAGTCCGCCACTTGTTGCCAAAAACCTACAAGCTGCTCATAAAGAAGCTGCCACTTGCTGTCTTCAAAGAAAATCAAAGCACACAAGCTGCTCATGAAGAGTCTGCCACTTGTTGCCAATAACCCACAAGCTGCTCATAAAGAAGCTGCCACTTGCCGTTTTCAAAAAGTGTTGATAATATACAAGTTGTCCATGAAGAGACTGCCGCTTGCTGTTTTTCAAAGATAACAATAACACACAAGTTGCTCATGAAGAGACCGCCACTTGCCATTTTTCAAAGATAACAATAACACACAAGTTGCTCATAAAGAGGCCGCCGCTTGCTGTTTTTCAAAGATAACAATAACACACAAGTTGCTCATGAAGAGGCCGCCGCGTGCTGTTTTCTTTTCAAAATTACCAATAACACACAAGTTGCTCATGAAGAGTCCGCCACTTGTTGCCAATAACTTACAAGCTGCTCATGAAGAGCTGCCACTTGCCATCCTCAAAGAATATTAAAGCACACAAGCTACTCATGAAGAGTCCGCCACTTGTTGCTTATAACCCACAAGCTGCTCATGAAGAGCTGCCACTTGCCATTTTCCATACAAGCTGCTCATGAAGAGCTGCCACTTTCCATTTTCCAAAGAAAAATAACGTACAAGCTACCCATGAAAGGACTGCCACTTACCGTTTTTTCGAGGTGTCAATAATATACAAGTTGCCTCGGGAAGAGACTGCCGCTTGCTGTTTCCCAAAAAGATACCCATAAAATATCATGAAGATATTGCTGGAGGTGAGAACCAATAATTTCATCGAGGATGGACAAACTGCTCATGAAGAGACCGCCATTTGTCGTAGAGAAATCAGAAATAATCAAACTGCTCAAATAAATAGTCAGTCGCTTGTTGTCATGCCGATATTCCAGAAGAAGGTTGTGATAACACTACTGGGGAATAAAGTTCATCTTCAATGGGGAACCATGAATAAATCCTTCTTGAGGAGACCAAGTATTTACGTTGCAAAATAAATGCACTCTCCATCTAGGTTTCACAGCCTAGAGAGATCCACAGGGTATCGTTCACAAGAGACAAAGCTCAATCCAGGAATAAACTGGAGAGAAAATAGTCAAACAAGACTCCACCCAATGAGGAAACAACTCAAATGGGGATTTATCCTATCCAGAGATGGAAAAGGAAAGCTAAAGCAAGATTCTTCCACGAGAGTTTACTCAGTGGGGAATTAGAAAGAAGGCGCACTTTCTGCTTAAGTTGACACTCTATTTGGAAAGATCAAATATGTTATTTGAATAGACATAACCAAGGTATACAAACTCAATGACATCAACAAATACAAATGTGCGTGCAAGACGCAAGTGTGAATGAATAAATGAATGTCATGTATATGCTGAAAAAACAGACAGGGGAGATAGACAGAAGATGATAAGACGTCCCAGTACAACCCGACGCTCGACTAATCTCAACAAGATGGGAACATTACTGGAGATAGAACACAGGCCATCATTGGAGCAAGGTCTTTTTACAAGGCTTAAATATCTCTGGAGAGGAAGATATTTTCAGGTAGAAAACCCAAAGTCCAGTCTTCCATTGTCAATAATCCATTGAAAGGATAACAACACAAACAATGTTTTAGCTGGAAAAAGCCATGCTTAACTGGAGATACTGGGAACACCACCCTCTGATAATGTGTGCAAAACATATCACATATCTTTGACAAATCTAGATTGCCCCTGGGACCAATTTTAGATGCCCCAAGTTTACTGCTGATGAGCTGCATGTTGCACGAAAATTCTTGCGAATAGCTTCACTTCTAACATGCCCCAAGCTATCTGGTTGATGAGGAGAAATCGTCTCAAGAGGATTTTACAAAAGACCTGGCATTCACCATGCTCTGGTGTCTTCAAACTCTTAGAGAGATTCATCAAATCTCGACGTGATTGCCCCGAATTGACTGTAGTTGGCACAACAAAGTCTTCAAATTTTGCCCCAACAGGGTAAACAAGTTGGAGAAGCATTAACTGGGAGAAGCAACATGTCTGTGCTTAAGGTCTTCATGTGGCATGCCTCTGGATATGATTTTTTTGAAATGATTCTCTAATTACTCAACAGAGTTTCAGGCCTTAAAAGAATAAACTCATCACTAGTGCTTATATGTGAGCTTCCTTGATATCAAACAAATGTTTTGCAGTTAGAACAAATCTATTATGAGGAATGAAAATTCTAATGCAACAGTTATGTAAGTCTTGAAGATTTTGAAAAGATATCGCACAAATTTTGCGAGTTAAAGCACCATTTATTTTTGTATAGGAAAAACATATGATACCAACATAACTATTTAGAACATTCATGGGAGTCAGGAACACTATCTCATTGAAGTATGCTTT